GGAAAGTTATAAGTGATATGGTCAGGAATTTCTTTTTATCAAAGGAAGAGGACAAATTATTTTTGTAGAGTGTAATGTCCATTGTACAATATACCAGTGTAACAAGTTTTGACAAAATGATTTGTAGCGGGAGAGAAGAATGCCTAAATAGCATGTTAGCATGAAATTATATACAATATCATGTTTCTGAATTAATGTAATCAAATGGGGCGTGCCACACAGGCGATTGTCTGAAATTTAATTAACGATCACAACAAACTGCTTATAATCAAGTGTTTATTGTAACTGTTTATGTGCAGTGTTATACAATAAGGGTTTACTCAATAAACAGACCAGTCTGTCGCGTCATATTCAAACGATCACCAGTCTATATTAATGTTAATACTATATAATAGACATCATTTATATGGAAGTTACATGTGGTATTCAAATCTTTAAAATGTGACACCTGTTAAATGTCATTCTGTAAAATTGTCAAATTTATGAAGTATTATGTGGATTAATGAATTAGTCAAGTTTAGTCCCTTTGTCCCAGACTGTGTGGTATTGTTTACTTATAACAAAACTTAACAATTTATCATCAAATTCAATAATATCTTAAAATGTACTTGTTAAAATTTTACAGCATTTTGACCGTTATCTGGTAACAATTATTTGTAAGTTGACAATGAGGAAAATTGCACAATTATTAACTTTCATTGAGGTCAGTGTGATGGTTTATCAACCCGATGATTGTTTTTTGAAGTAGTCCAAGGTCATTAAAACACCATTCCATTTAAGCTTATAAAGTTTTTATAGCAATCTTATATCATTGTTGTAGGATGATCTTAATATGTTGCTGACAATATGCCTGGAATTTCCTAGAATTTTGTATTGATAGCATTAGCAAGTGGGTTGTTTACAAAACGTTTATATTCAATTTATTGAAAGTTGATATTTTGTTATAGACAAATTAGAAATGTGGATATACTCAAATTTCATCACTGATTTAATAATTTAATCATGAGTCATATTATATGCCCAGTATCTCTGATGGATACCATACACTCACTACCTGATGTAAGTGTCGCTGTTTGGGAGTCTGCTTATCTCCCCTGGCAGGTCATCCATCAAATTGACACATAAATTCCTGCTAGTTGTGAATAGTTAGCATTGACCCTGCAACACAATGATGACAGGATATGTATGTAACAAGAAAATGTGCAATATTATAGACCAACATCAGATATCCGCTAATAAGCCCACATTTGTGAATAAGCTCATCCATGTATATATTGCTTTGTAGTAAAATCACAAACCAATGTTATTTTATTATCTGTTATCAGTACATTCCCCTGACTATGGGTAAGAAGTAATATACTGTAGCTTTTGGTTTGGGTAAGAAGTAATATACTGTAGCTTTTGGTTTGGGTAAGAAGTAATATACTGTAGCTTTTGGTAAGAAGTAATATACTGTACCTTTTGGTTTGAGTAAGAAGTAATATACTGTACCTTTTGGTTTGGGTAAGAAGTAATATACTGTACCTTTTGGTAAGAAGTAATATACTGTAGCTTTTGGTAAGAAGTAATATACTGTAGCTTTTGGTTTGGTTAAGAAGTAATATACTGTAATAATATACTGTAGCATTTTGGTTTTAAGAAGTAATATACTGTAGCTTTTGGTAAGAAGTAATATACTGTACCTTTTGGTAAGAAGTAATATACTGTAGCTTTTGGTAAGAAGTAATATACTGTACCTTTTGGTAAGAAGTAATATACTGTACCTTTTGGTAAGAAGTAATATACTGTACCTTTTTTTGGGTAAGAAGTAATATACTGTACCTTTTGGGTAAGAAGTAATATACTGTACCTTTTGGTTTGAGTAAGAAGTAATATACTGTAGCTTTTGGTAAGAAGTAATATACTGTACCTTTTGGGTAAGAAGTAATATACTGTAGCTTTTGGTAAGAAGTAATATACTGTAGCTTTTGGTAAGAAGTAATATACTGTAGCTTTTGGTAAGAAGTAATAATATAATGTACCTTTTGGTAAGAAGTAATATACTGTAGCTTTTGGTAAGAAGTAATATTGTAGCTTTTGGTAAGAAGTAATATACTGTAGCTTTTTGTTTGGTTAAGAAGTAATATACTGTACCTTTTGGTTAAGAAGTAATATACTGTAGCTTTTGGTAAGAAGTAATATACTGTACCTTTTGGTTTGGGTAAGAAGTAATATACTGTACCTTTTGGTTTGGGTAAGAAGTAATATACTGTAGCTTTTGGTAAGAAGTAATATACTGTAGCTTTTGGGTAAGAAGTAATATACTGTAGCTTTTGGGTAAGAAGTAATATACTGTACCTTTTGGTTTGGGTAAGAAGTAATATACTGTACCTTTTGGTAAGAAGTAATATACTGTAGCTTTTGGTTAAGAAGTAATATACTGTAGCTTTTGGTTAAGAAGTAATATACTGTACCTTTTGGTAAGAAGTAATATACTGTAGCTTTTGGTAAGAAGTAATATACTGTACCTTTTGGTAAGAAGTAATATACTGTAGCTTTTGGTAAGAAGTAATATACTGTACCTTTTGGTAAGAAGTAATATACTGTAGCTTTTGGGTAAGAAGTAATATACTGTAGCTTTTGGTTTAGGTAAGAAGTAATATACTGTAGCTTTTGGGTAAGAAGTAATATACTGTACCTTTTGGTAATATACTGTAGCTTTTGGTAAGAAGTAATATACTGTACCTTTTGGTTTGGGTAAGAAGTAATATACTGTACCTTTTGGTAAGAAGTAATATACTGTAGCTTTTGGTAAGAAGTAATATACTGTACCTTTTGGTAAGAAGTAATATACTGTAGCTTTTGGTTTGGTTAAGAAGTAATATACTGTACCTTTTGGTAAGAAGTAATATACTGTACCTTTGGGTAAGAAGTAATATACTGTAGCTTTTGGTTTATTAAAGATTTCTACAATAAGATATTTATAATGGGGTAAGACAGAGGAATATAATTTTCAGTATAAGCTGTCACATGTGTTGATATTGAAGTGGATGCTTGTACTGTAATATTATGTCACAGTCTGTCTGTCTGCCAATACAAGGCCATTTGATTCCTGATACCAGACACATTTCTCAGGGTACTTTCTGTTTCCTGGTAATTAACATTGTTAATCAGATTTTGTAGTGACATCAATCACACACAGAGGTTGTCCTCTACACTTTATGTTTTGGCCAAAGTGTCCCATCTGTCAGTTCTTTGAAGATCACTTTCATCGTTTTGTAATTTAGATGATTAATTGACTCAGTGATAACACTGACTTTGTACGATGTGACTAAATGTTTGTCTTCAGTCATTTATAGTCATTCCATCTGTTCTCTATTTGCCAAGGATCAGTTTTGATGCATGTCTTTGGTCAGTTATCAACCACATCTTTATAGGAAATATATGAATATTTAATGGCAGATATACATCTGACCATTTGTCCACTGTCAATTAGTGACCACTTGTCACGGCTGATGACCACTTGTTATGGCAACAGAGTGGTCTTCTGTAGTCAGTTAGCCAGATGTGGCCTGGACAGGATACAGAGTCTGGCCATCACTATTGTGTTGGCTGCACACTTGATAGATTATTTGGGATCAATATCACACTTGTGTGGAATCCCTGGGTGAAAAGGTCAAAGTGGTCCCAAAACATTCAAACAATAGAATTTTGTCTCAGTCAAACCCAAAACGTTTCTTGAAAAAGCTTGTTTCATATTGATGAATCTTAACAGAGAAGGTCTTGAAACATGTTTTTATGAAATTGTTTAAAAGAAGAAAAAAAATTTGAGACGGTTTTAGATTGTTAATGATCTTTATATATAAAGCACAATAAGTTAATTATGGCAAAGGAGGTTTCATATCTTAATCAAAGGGAGCCTTTCTCCTGTAATTGTATCAAGGAGGTGTATTGGTTGTGTCTTCACACTGTCAGATCTAACCTACATTTACCCTGACTTAGCTCACAGTCTCCAGTCTCTGACAGTGGCAGCATTTGTAAAGAATTTATAAAAAAAATCTCACAAGGCAAAAGGTTTTGTAATACATCTCGTACACACCACCACATTGTCAGAATATATTCATTACACGTCATGAAACAGTTATAAACTTAGATTTCTAAGATAAATAAGTAACAGTAGACATAGATTTGTGGTGTTGTGTGGCACTACATCATGGCTAAACTAAGAACGAAAACTAAACAACGGAAAAATGAGAGAGAAATCGTTTAGTTGTAACATACATTGTAGACAAGTTTTGTAATTAGACCTGTTCGGTTAAATGTTTTTGTAAAATTCATCATTACTGTTGTATGCTATTCTTCAAGCTTAGCCAGCTTTTGAAATATGTCTGATGTCTCCATGTCATTGATTCTTAAAAATGTCACATCACCAATCAGTTCAGAATATTTGATGTAAAACCTGATCACTGTGTAGTTTGACAATGTACTGTGAACTAGGTGTGGTGGTTATTTCCGTTACAATGTACTGTGAACTAGGTGTGGTGGTACTTCCCGTGACAATGTACTGTGAACTAGGTGTGGTGGTACTTCCCGTTACAATGTACTGTGAACTAGGTGTGGTGGTACTTCCCGTGACAATGTACTGTGAACTAGGTGTGGTGGTACTTCCCGTTACAATGTACTGTGAACTAGGTGTGGTGGTACTTCCCGTTACAATGTACTGTGAACTAGGTGTGGTGGTTATTTCCGTTAAATGTACTGTGAACTAGGTGTGGTGGTTATTTCCGTTACAATGTACTGTGAACTAGGTGTGGTGGTACTTCCCGTGACAATGTACTGTGAACTAGGTGTGGTGGTACTTCCCGTTACAATGTACTGTGAACTAGGTGTGGTGGTACTTCCCGTGACAATGTACTGTGAACTAGGTGTGGTGGTACTTCCCGTTACAATGTACTGTGAACTAGGTGTGGTGGTACTTCCCGTTACAATGTACTGTGAACTAGGTGTGGTGGTTATTTCCGTTAAATGTACTGTGAACTAGGTGTGGTGGTACTTCCCGTGACAATGTACTGTGAACTAGGTGTGGTGGTACTTCCCGTTACAATGTACTGTGAACTAGGTGTGGTGGTACTTCCCGTTACAATGTACTGTGAACTAGGTGTGGTGGTTATTTCCGTTACAATGTACTGTGAACTAGGTGTGGTGGTACTTCCCGTGACAATGTACTGTGAACTAGGTGTGGTGGTACTTCCCGTTACAATGTACTGTGAACTAGGTGTGGTGGTACTTCCCGTGACAATGTACTGTGAACTAGGTGTGGTGGTACTTCCCGTTACAATGTACTGTGAACTAGGTGTGGTGGTACTTCCCGTGACAATGTACTGTGAACTAGGTGTGGTGGTACTTCCCGTGACAATGTACTGTGAACTAGGTGTGGTGGTACTTCCCGTGACAATGTACTGTGAACTAGGTGTGGTGGTACTTCCCGTTACAATGTACTGTGAACTAGGTGTGGTGGTACTTCCCGTTACAATGTACTGTGAACTAGGTGTGGTGGTACTTCCCGTTACAATGTACTGTGAACTAGGTGTGGTGGTACTTCCCGTGACAATGTACTGTGAACTAGGTGTGGTGGTACTTCCCGTAACAATGTACTGTGAACTAGGTGTGGTGGTACTTCCCGTGACAATGTACTGTGAACTAGGTGTGGTGGTTATTCCCGTTACAATGTACTGTGAACTAGGTGTGGTGGTACTTCCCGTGACAATGTACTGTGAACTAGGTGTGGTGGTACTTCCCGTAACAATGTACTGTGAACTAGGTGTGGTGGTACTTCCCGTGACAATGTACTGTGAACTAGGTGTGGTGGTTATTCCCGTTACAATGTACTGTGAACTAGGTGTGGTGGTACTTCCCGTGACAATGTACTGTGAACTAGGTGTGGTGGTACTTCCCGTGACAATGTACTGTGAACTAGGTGTGGTGGTACTTCCCGTGACAATGTACTGTGAACTAGGTGTGGTGGTTATTCCCGTGACAATGTACTGTGAACTAGGTGTGGTGGTACTTCCCGTTACAATGTACTGTGAACTAGGTGTGGTGGTACTTCCCGTTGCAATGTACTGTGAACTAGGTGTGGTGGTTATTCCCGTTACAATGTACTGTGAACTAGGTGTGGTGGTTATTCCCGTTACAATGTACTGTGAACTAGGTGTGGTGGTTATTCCCGTTACAATGTACTGTGAACTAGGTGTGGTGGTACTTCCCGTTACAATGTACTGTGAACTAGGTGTGGTGGTACTTCCCGTTACAATGTACTGTGAACTAGGTGTGGTGGTTATTCCCGTTACAATGTACTGTGAACTAGGTGTGGTGGTTATTCCCGTTACAATGTACTGTGAACTAGGTGTGGTGGTACTTCCCGTTACAATGTACTGTGAACTAGGTGTGGTGGTACTTCCCGTTACAATGTACTGTGAACTAGGTGTGGTGGTACTTCCCGTTACAATGTACTGTGAACTAGGTGTGGTGGTACTTCCCGTTACAATGTACTGTGAACTAGGTGTGGTGGTACTTTCCGTTACAATGTACTGTGAACTAGGTGTGGTGGTACTTCCCGTGACAATGTACTGTGAACTAGGTGTGGTGGTACTTCCCGTGACAATGTACTGTGAACTAGGTGTGGTGGTACTTCCCGTGACAATGTACTGTGAACTAGGTGTGGTGGTACTTCCCGTGACAATGTACTGTGAACTAGGTGTGGTGGTACTTCCCGTTACAATGTACTGTGAACTAGGTGTGGTGGTACTTCCCGTTACAATGTACTGTGAACTAGGTGTGGTGGTACTTCCCGTTACAATGTACTGTGAACTAGGTGTGGTGGTACTTCCCGTGACAATGTACTGTGAACTAGGTGTGGTGGTACTTCCCGTTACAATGTACTGTGAACTAGGTGTGGTGGTACTTTCCGTGACAATGTACTGTGAACTAGGTGTGGTGGTACTTCCCGTTACAATGTACTGTGAACTAGGTGTGGTGGTTATTCCCGTGACAATGATTATGAGTAATTGACATTTACCGATAAGTTACGTAATGAAACACATTTAGGATAATCTGAAGACAATTGTCTGTATTATAGGAAATGTCACATAAATCATGGAGGTTGTTCTAGGTATCCATTGGTAAATGCTTTCATTACAGTTAGTGGATAATTTGGTTCATGTCAAGTGCAATTATCTAGATATCATCTACTAGACTTAATGAATCTTAATGATCAAGGCTTTTTGTCACATCACTATCAACTTTCTGTGTGACATCTGACTATAGGAGTTTAAGTTTTGTTATATGGAAATAAATATTGGACTGAAATTGAATAAGTAAAATTATTTCAGAATTGTTTAGTGTTGTTAAATTATTCATCAAGTCATTTCTTTGAAAAGCTGTTAAAGTATTGCAAAATCAAAGATATAATGAGGGAAGAAAGGAAAAACAAAATGCTTATAAAATCCTGATTTATTTATACCTTGTGATATCCTGTGATGGATTTATGGGGAGGTCTCCTAGCCATGTGACCAGGAAGTATGCCAGCACCAGCCTGAAGGCACCAACTCTCATCAGGGTGTCACTTCACCAATCTAATCATACAAGTCATTCTGCTGATACCAATCATATTCAAAACATCTTCCTTAAAAATATTAGTCATTCATAAAAAAGTTTCGTTTATTTCCCAAGACTTAAGTTGTGTATCGTCAAAATAAAGGTAGGGCCCGATAGAAATACGACAAGAATGCACTGGCTTAGATAGGCCTTGGTTTTCTAATCATATCATATTGCCAATAAGAGCTATGATGGCGGGGAGGCACACACTACATGCAGGGATTTGAGTCCAATCTTACTTTCTCCTCACACAGCTTCAGATAGTCTGGAGGCAGGACTCCTAGTATGTAATATTTACGGGATTGAAATTAGCAGAAATATGTCCATTCTTTATGTTTTCATGTTAACTTATACCAGTTGGCAATAGCATACAGGTTTTAAGAATATATCAGTCTCCAAATATGGTATTTTTTCATAGCAGAGATAGATTTCTGAATCTTTAATGATTTATCATATTAGTGAGAAGAAATTTGTAGAAAGTAACTTTGTATATTGCTTCTTTTAAAATAGTAGATCCAGACTCTTTTCTTATGTTTATGTCTCAATAAACTCCCAGCTTCATCTCTTGCCTGTGTCTCAGTACGCCTTCTACCCAGCTCCCTCCCTTGTGTGTGTTTCAGTAACTACCTAGCTCTCTGCCTTGTTTGTGTCTCAGTATCTACCTAGCTCCCTCCCTTGTTTGTGTCTCAGTATCTACCTAGCTCCCTCCCTTGTTTGTGTCTCAGTATCTACCTAGCTCTCTGCCTTGTTTGTGTCTCAGTATCTACCTAGCTCCCTCCCTTGTTTGTGTCTCAGTAACTACCTAGCTCTCTGCCTTGTTTGTGTCTCAGTATCTACCTAGCTCCCTCCCTCGTTTGTTTCTCAGTACACCTTCTACCCAGCTCCCTCCCTTGTTTGTGTCTCAGTACGCCTTCTACCCAGCTCCCTCCCTTGTTTGTGTCTCAGTACGCCTTCTACCCAGCTTCCTCCCTTGTTTGTGTCTCAGTATCTACCTAGCTCCCTCTCTTGTTTGTGTCTCAGTATCTACCTAGCTCCCTCCCTTGTTTGTGTCCCAGTATCTACCCAGCTCCCTCCCTTGTTTGTGTCTCAGTATCTACCTAGCGCCCTCCCTTGTTTGTGTCTCAGTATCTACCTAGCTCCCTCCCTTGTTTGTGTCTCAGTATCTACCTAGCTCCCTCCCTTGTTTGTGTCTCAGTATCTACCTAGCTCCCTCCCTTGTTTGTGTCTCAGTATGCCTTCTACCTAGCTCCCTCCCTTGTTTGTGTCCCAGTATCTACCTAGCTCCCTCCCTTGTTTGTGTCTCAGTATCTACCCAGCTTCCTCCCTTGTTTGTGTCTCAGTATCTACCTAGCTCCCTCCCTTGTTTGTGTCTCAGTATCTACCTAGCTCCCTCCCTTGTTTGTGTCTCAGTACGCCTTCTACCCAGCTCCCTCCCTTGTTTGTGTCTCAGTATCTACCTAGCTCCCTCCCTTGTTTGTGTCTCAGTATCTACCCAGCTCCCTCCCTTGTTTGTGTCCCAGTATCTACCCAGCTCCCTCCCTTGTGTGTGTCCCAGTATCTACCCAGCTCCCTCCCTTGTTTGTGTCTCAGTATCTACCTAGCTCCCTCCCTTGTTTGTGTCCCAGTATCTACCTAGCTCCCTCCTTGTCTCTGTCTCAATATTTCCCCCAGCTCCCTGTTCCTGTCTGGTGCACCATCAAGATTCTGCCAATGTTTCTGTCTGGGTCTCTGTGGTACAGCTGTCCCTACTCTGTCTCTACAGTATCAGGAATTTGTATATATGATTTAGTAGATGTGTTTTCCCATATTGCATTGCTCTGGTTGCCATGACTATCTGGTATATCCTTTTTTGACTGGTGGGACTGCTTGTGTGTGTACCCAGAGAGAACATCTGGTGTGTTTGTAGTGTGTAGTGCTACCAGAGGCTTTAGTTGTGTGTGGTGTATTTATGGCACTGAGGTGACAACAACTACTCACTGACCACTAACTGACCAGCACTGGCCCTAAGGACCCACACACTACCACCTGCTGGCCCCAAGTCCAGTGGTAAAATAAGGTTTGGTAAGGTCAGTCTTTATTTTTTACTAGTTGTAGTGACAAGCAGAATGATATATAGCTAGGATTGTTTTTTCAGTGCATACAGGATTATATTTATTTGTGGTCAGGAAAGGGCTGAGGCTAGTCACCACATGTCAGTGCAAATTTCAGAGTGTCATTTTGAACCTCAAATGTCAACTGCTGTTCATAGTGTGACTCAGGGTAAACTAGTACTCTGTGTCATAGGAAAACATGTCTGACTTGTACCACAGGTCAAACCGATTATTTCTATGATAATTTTGGCAGTTGATTATTATGGTGCGTTAGCTATAGGTCATGTTAAGTCTGCAGTTTTCCTGTTTCTGTTATCGAAGACTGGCCGTTGACTTGCGGAGTCTAGCCTATAGTAACTGCTGTGTCTACAAGACAGGTACAATTATACCCCATATCCTGCAGTTTCTTCTAACAACTTGGACAATGTTTCTTTCTAATGCACACAATATTATGTCATAATCTTCAGCATGGTTGGAGAGCTCAGTTGAAATTGATAGAATCTAAATTGTGACATTTATCTGTCTTTAAGACTGTGTTTTAGGAGATTCTATCACTGTCATTATGTTCTGTAACAATACTGGTGCTAATGATATTGAAAGGGTGAGGATAATTAGAGGATAGGTTCAGTGGATTAAACAGATGACTAATAAAAGGATTTATCACAGCAGTAATCATAGGACTGGTTTCTTTAACATGGGTTAAGCAATGTGTTTAATTTGTCACAAAAGGACATTACAGTAAAGCTGATCAGTGGACAACCGGTCAGTTAATTACAGCAGGTAAACAACATTACTCAAGGTGTGTGTGTCTAATCTTCTTACCTTTTACTTACAGGTGGATTAGCGTGAGGGAGGAACAGTGAAAATTATCCTGTAACAGTATTCCAACCTTCAACAGACTTAGGACACGCCAAACACTTCTGTTTACCACGTTTACTTCAAGGAAGTGGTGGGAGTCAATGTTTCATCCTAAAGGTCATAAGGTCAATCTCATATGTTAATGAGATAATAATAGAAGAGAAAAAAAGTTTCAAAGGGAAATATTTCCTATATTAATCAGTGACTGCATTTAAATAATGGATGTAGCTTGTGAATCGTGTGGTTGCCAGCAGAAAATTTCAAGACGCAGAGGAAGTTTTACCAGGACACTAAGTGTATCTGTCAAAATGGAATTACTTGTACTAGTGTTAATAGCCGTTCTGGGTTTGTGCTCGGGACAAAACACCAAAGTCGATGTTGATGGACTCCTTAATTCTTTGGATGAGGGATCTAGAAAGATTCCAGTGGCTCTGAATTGGGGTATAGCAGATAGCTCAGCAGTTATTGGGAAACTCTTCAATTATGCTATTCCTTCAGACGCATTCAAGGGAGATATTGTATCTTATAAGGTAAGTCCACGTATCTCCTTAGTTTTCTGTTTACATTTTAGATTTTATTGATTTAAATTTTAGACTTAGAAAAACTTGGTCATATTGGTATTAGTCGTTTGAAGATAAAATATGAATTTTCCTTTTTTCCCAATAATTTTATTAACATACCTTGGGGCGTGTTTGTAAATTCTCCTGACAAATCAGCCTAACAAAAGGTATAATTGGATGTATTGTGAGAAAGACTGTGGAATCTTTATTAAGGTCAGATTTTTGCCCAGGAAGTCTCCTGGTAGTTTTCCAATATCCCTGTAGTGTCTAGTTCCCTAAATAAAGCACCCTCTGAAAATCTAAATGCCATTGCTTGTCTGGAAACTTGTAGACAGAGAATGTCATTGACACCCGCGTGTAGCCTAACTCAGGGCTGCTGTAGCGCTCTCTGCTGTTGATTAGAATACATGTCCCCATCTACATAAGTAATACTTAATAGCTAATTTCTGGCTCTTCAGCAGATGTTGTTCTGCTTCAAATGGTGAAGTTGTCCATAAGCTCCTTTACTTAACATTATTGAATAAAAAAACACTTTAATCTGAAATATGTGTAGTAACAAATTGATTATCAATTTTTTAATTTAAAAGTGCACTTGACTATACACTTCCAAATAATCAAAGAACTCTTTTAAAATGTTTAATGTTGATGTGAAAGTGAAAGGTCTCAAGTTTTGTTATTTACGTGTCGGGGAATTTAGTCCCTCTTTCACAGTTTTCCTTGACCGAAGGGTGGGTAACTGTCATTCATTTTCTGTGACACTAAACAGGGTTGTGAAAAGACATCTGTTGTGTAATGTGGATGTGACTGAGCTCAGAACTCTTCCCTAGCAGGTCTCTCCAGTTCTCTACAGAAATCTTCCCTAGCAGGTCTCTCCAGTTCTCTACAGAAATCTTCCCTAGCAGGTCTCTCCAGTTCTCTACAGAAATCTTCCCTAGCAGGTCTCTCCAGTTCTCTACAGAAATCTTCCCTAGCAGGTCTCTCCAGTTCTCTACAGAAATCTTCCCTAGCAGGTCTCTCCAGTTCTCTACAGAAATCTTCCCTAGCAGGTCTCTCCAGTTCTCTACAGAAATCTTCCCTAGCAGGTCTCTCTAGTTCTCTACAGAAATCTTCCCTAGCAATTTTTCCTTCAGGTTTTCTACAGAGATTTCTCACTACATAGAAATTTTTCCCTTGTAAATGTTTGTGGATAATAGTTCCTATTATGTTTTGTGATTCGCCAGCTTTTTTGTATTCATTTGATTAATATTTTTTGTACACAAAGCTACCAAGGTTTTTTCTGTGATCAGCTTGGCTGTAGGTCATTCCTCATGGTCCTGTAGGTTTTTAGGCTTTAGGCTAGACATACAGTCACAATATAACGCTTCATGTACTACGAAGGGTTGGAATTATCAGTCAAATTTCTAAAGTTGAAAATGTTTTATTAAAACCATAAGATATTCAAGACTGCTAGTATAAAATAATGTTTCATAATACAATTCATTATTTGAATTGTCATTCACATGTTGAATTCATAGAAAGGAATATGGCATTATCTTTCACCGACGTAATGCATATATATAGTTATTGAACTCGATGTTTTGTGTCAGTAGTGATCCATCTCTGGTATGTGGTGATATTGGTGGATAGATCCCAAGACACCTGATAGGTCTGTGTTCTCAGTTTTATTTTTATATTCCCAGAAGGTAAAACAACATGTTTAACACACTTGGCCACTTATTTGCCTAATTGTAGCCAAACAGCCTGTAAACACGGTTCAGAAACGAGTAATGATGCATGCATGTAATAGTCTTGTGTATCCTACACAAGGCAGGTCGTGCAGCCCTAGGTCCACATGCTAAAACTATCACGTTTATTGACATGGCTACTATACTAGTTCAATGTCTGTGAAAATAAAAAAAAAAGAAAGAAAATAGTATTTGCTTTTGGTGGCAGGGTGAGGATTTTATGGCTCTGTAGTACATGTTGTACCCAGACATATATAAATTACTGATGGATCCCAACACTGGCAGACTTAGGCGCTGTTAAATCACCAGCTGCAACGTCATCATCAAGAAGTGAAATTTGAAATACTTGTATTTCCTGTCATAAACCCAGGGATTAATGTGCTTATTTCATATTAGAATTTTTTTATTGTGTGATATATATTTCACCTTTTCTGGCCTACAAGGATTTCATGGTTTTGCAGACATTGGCTCTTTTCTCTCAATGAACACTGGTAGATTTCAGTAAAGAACAGATTTAATAGTGAATCATCCCACTGTAGCATTAGACATGAAAGAAATCCTGTTTATTAATTTCATTGGTAAAGTGAAATAAAATCAAAATGTCTATGTTTAATATCCTGGTGTTGATGAAAAATTCTCCAAGAAAAGAGACGGAGACTGGTACAGCAGAGACTGGTTTAGTAGAAACATGTTCAGTAGAGACACGATCAGTCAAGAAAGTTTTTAATTTCAAAGGTTGGAAACTTTCTGAAAAAATTACTGATATTTTTATACTAGTTTTACTATCAGGCAATAAAATTTTCACTTGTGTGTTGTAATGGTGTTGTAATCAGGTGTTAGCCAGTCATTATCAGTTAGGTTTCAGCTTATCAGACCACATTCATTAGTATGCTGGAGTTCCTTATCTTAGGTACACCTGCTATTGTTACCATACGACATTGCTGGCTCGGCACCCATCCAGTCAAAAATGTGTTGCCCACAGTGTTACAGTGCAATTGTGTGGTAGATACCGTCATAGTATTAACAGTCTTCACATTTTTACATAGTTTTAATCACTTCAATTAAGATTTCAATCAAGATGTAATAAAATTTGTTAGAAGTTGGTGATAAAATTATACCTGATATTGGTGATGTGTTTAAATATGTATAACATTTTTAAAATCTTTACTGTCGAGTGGAATGTGTGAACATAAAAAATCATCTGTTGGCAAGCGAGGGGAAAGATAATTATCTTAAGTGTCTCGTTTAATTAGAATAAAAGACTAATTAATGTAGTTTTGATGTGAAAATAAAAAAGCAGATTTATTAATGTTATCAGTTTAGATAATCAGAATCGTTACGTTTAACAACTCTAGGGTAAAACAAAAATGGAGGCCTTGAAATTTGTTATGTAATCAATTGTTGGCAGTAAGATGTTAAATAGGCTGACAGATAGTCCTGACAGTGATGTTGTGGTGTTGTTGGGAGGAAGCAGGTCTCAGCTGATTGTAGTTCCTCTGGTTAATTACAATTAGTCTAGGTTACATTCTGTAGCTCAGTTGGGTGCTCTTCATTGATCTGGACAATGTGTTAGTCATATTGTCATAACAGGTAGAGTATCGAGTATCAGGAGCCAGGGAACCTGTAGATGGGTTTGAGTATAGGGGCCAGGGAACATCTAGAAGGGTTTGAGTATAGGGGCCAGGGAACATCTAGAAGGGTTTGAGTATAGGGGCCTGGGAACCTCTAGAAGGGTTTGAGTATAGGGGTCTGTGAACCTCTAGAAGGGTTTGAGTATAGGGGCCAGGGAACATCTAGAAGGGTTTGAGTATAGGGGCCTGTGAACCTCTAGAAGGGTTTGAGTATAGGGGCCTGTGAACCTCTAGAAGGGTTTGAGTATAGGGGCCTGGGAACCTCTAGAAGGGTTTGAGTATAGGGGCTTGGGAACCTCTAGAAGGGTTTGAGTATAGGGGCCTGGGAACCTCTAGAAGGGTTTGAGTATTGGGGCCAGGGAACATCTAGAAGGGTTTGAGTATAGGGGCCAGGGAACATCTAGAAGGGTTTGAGTATAGGGGCCTGTGAACCTCTAGAAGGGTTTGAGTATAGGGGCCTGGGAACCTCTAGAAGGGTTTGAGTATAGGGGCCAGGGAACATCTAGAAGGGTTTGAGTATAGGGGCCTGTGAACCTCTAGAAGGGTTTGAGTATAGGGGCCTGTGAACCTCTAGAAGGGTTTGAGTATAGGGGCCTGGGAACCTCTAGAAGGGTTTGAGTATAGGGGCTTGGGAACCTCTAGAAGGGTTTGAGTTTAGGGGCCTGGGAACCTCTAGAAGGGTTTGAGTATTGGGGCCTGGGAACATCTAGAAGGGTTTGAGTATAGGGGCCTGGGAACCTCTAGAAGGGTTTGAGTATAGGGGCCTGGGAACCTCTAGAAGGGTTTGAGTATAGGGGCCTGGGAACCTCTAGAAGGGTTTGAGTATAGGGGCCTGGGAACCTCTAGAAGGGTTTGAGTATCAGGGGCCTGGGAACCTCTGTAAGGGTTTGAGTATCAGGGGCCTGGGAACCTCTGTAAGGGTTTGAGTATAGGGGCTTGGGAACCTCTAGAAGGGTTTGAGTATTGGGGCCAGGGAACCTTTAGAAGGGTTTGAGTATTGGGGCCAGGGAACCTCTAGAAGGCTAAGTGTAGGGGTCGCGGAATCTTGGAAGGGGTCATCAGTCATTATAGGACAAGTATAGGGAAATGCTGATTATTGAAAGACTCACCTTGGGGGCCTGTAAGGGTTCGCAACAGTCATACAGAAAATCATGGAATTTATCATATATACATATAGAACTAAATGAGAAAAAATTACTGAATTTTCCTTGTTTTAGTGAACATTCGTAATGCATTCATATGAATAATAATTATCGCATGAAGCTGTAGAGGAATATGGTTCTGCTGTGAACTAAGGATTTTGTAAAAGGTCGGGATTTATTTAAACATTACACTGCCGAAGAGCCTTCTAAACTCTCCCCTGGAGTTTTTGAAACAAAACTAGTATCATTTTCATCTAAATACTTATAATTTACTCTTGAGGTATTTGTAATGCTGTTCATTAATCTATCTTTTTTGATCTACTTCATTTTAAATCTGGAGATTAAGTTAAATTTGTTACACAAATACCTCACCTAATCGGAGCATTTGGGCTTGGTCTTATCACCAGTGACTTTTGTTTAAAAAGAGGTGATTTTGACATGAATCTGATGAACATCAGACAAGTACAAGAGAG